TTTTTTTAAAAAATATATCTGGCATCAATTTCAACAACTTTATTCACCCTTTTTTTTTGCCCTGAATTTTCATTTTCAAGGTAAATCTTTTCTCTTTTCTCTTTTTTTCTTTTTTTTTTTGAATTTTTTGGATTTTGACTGAAGCTTCAGACCCTTATCTCCAAGATGCATTTTTTTCTTGAAGACACCTAACTTCATCTTTTTTTTTTCTATTTACTTTCTTGAACTTTTAATATTTCAATTGAAGCCTCAATCACTTTTTACCCAGACTCTCATTTTCGAGGGATGTGTTAGATTCTTTCAATATCAAACACTTTCATTGAAGTTGGTTTCTTGAAGGTATCCTTATTTTGCCCCCAATGTAGAAAACGATCATTAATCGAGGTACATTTTAGAACAAAAAAATTCAATAGGCTCAAATGGGTAGCAAGTGGATAATTTTTATATATGAAAATGATAGAAAAAGATAACCATTTATCATTTCAAACATTATCACTTGGTTCGATGAACGAATCATTGAAGAATGATATAAAAGAGATTTTTTTTTACTTTTTTTTTATTTTTTTTATTTTTTTTGTTTTGCTTTTTTTTATGCCCTATCTTATTTTTCACTTAAGGTTCTAATGACGATCAAGTAGTATAGGATCGATTGCATAGTTCAAAAAGGCTCTTTGGGCTCTAAATTTTTTTTTCTTAGTGAAAAGAAGAGAAAAAAATATAAAAGTATGAAATAAATTGTCTTAGGCAAAAAAAGATTTTGTTTTTTTAATTAATGTCCTTTAAGACATGAAACAAGGGTTCTTTAAGAAAAAGGCTCAAGCATTTTTGTGTCTATAGTCACAGCAAAATTTTGATACACATTAAATTATCAATGAAAATTTAAAAGTGTATCTGATTTTTGAAATTCAAAATGAACTTTCAAAATTAACCTTTTTTGTTCTTTGCCCAATAAAAGGTTATCATCCCTTTATGTCACAAATCAAACTCACATTCTTTGAAGGGCTATGGTTAATGAGTCAAATCATTTGATTGATTAGAGACATAAAATTATTCGAACAGAGGTGAAGGAATTTGATGAGCTTTTTCCTAATAGTAATCACCATTTTCTTCAAGAATTCTCCCATTTTTATTACAAAAGAAAACTTTTTTTCTTTTTTCTTTTTATCTTAAAAGTTACTTACGTGGGACTTTTTATTCAAACAAATGCATAAAAAAAACTTTAAAAAAATAAAAGATCCAAAGCAATCAATTTTTCCAAAATAAGTTAGACAACTTTTAAGGATACTATGCACATATCATACATAAATAGTGAACAAATTCAAAAGAAAATCATCCTATCTTTATTTTTTAAAAACTTGAGACCTTCTTCTTCATCTCAACTCCTCACATTCGGTAATTGAATGGAGTCAACTTTTAATATTCTATCACCTTTAAAGTCAGAATACCATTCTCGATAAGATCTTTAACCTTTTTTTCAGCTATCTGTAATTTTTAGTTGAGTGACCAATTGCCCCCATATAATAATCACACTTGCCATTGGGATCATAGCTTTTGGCCAATGGATTTGGTGTTGTTTTTAAAGGCACAAGAATGAGATAATGACCTTCTGTTAGCAAAGGTAAAAAGTGAGAAATAGAGATTGATAGTTTTTCTCGATCATTCTTTGGTCTCTTTCGATTCTTTATTGGTCGGGTGTTAGGTTCAAATGTAGGGACAAGATCACGAATGGTCATTTGAGGATGGAAATTTGTTGGAAAGCCCAAATGCTAACTTGGTTGGCAAAGATGTGGGCTTTGAAAGATATTGCTTTTGACAGGATAATAAGGTTAATGATAAAGATATGGATTGTTTGAGATGGAGTTGTTAGGTAGATGTCCTTCCATTGTGACTGCTTGCACTTCTCCTTCATTTTTTTTATATACTTTTACTTTTCTCTTTAACATATATTACGTCTTTTAACTTAATCCTACCACTCTTGATTGTATTTTCTATAATTTCATTAGAAATCACCATGTTAAAAAAGTTTTTGGAGACATTCCCAATCATTCTTTCATAATAAGGAATGTTCAAGGAATTGATAAACAGAATAACGATTTTTTTTTCTGACAGGGGTAGTTGTACTTATTATTATTATTATGCTTTTTTTTATCTTTTTTTAATTTTCCAATATCTAAGCAGAATTATATTATAGGGTTTGAAGTTTTTATTCCTTCCAACATCTAGGCAGAAAAAATAATAACAAAAAAATTTATTCTTATTATCATTATTTTAGATTATTATTATATTTTTTAAGCATTTTAATTTTTTTTCATTTATTATCCTACTTGTTTTCATTTTTATTATTATTAAAAAAAATCAAATATTTATTCTAATAAATTTCAAAACTTTATCATGCATAAATATTAATAATAAAGCTAAAAATAACAAAAATAATAATATATGAAAAATTAGAGAATTTAAAAAAATAAAAAAAATAAAGAAGGTAAAAAAACACTTGAACTAGACCGATCAATGGTCCGATCAACACCAATCTAATCGGCTCGATGTTTCAAACTGGTTTGAACTGGTTCATTAGCAGTTCGTCTAGACCGGTTAAAGGTTGACTGAAGTGGATTGCTCGATCGATTTCTATGGATTCTGGGTCGGGTTCGAGTTTACGTGCAAATCCTTCTTGGTTTAAATGGTGTTGTTTTGGGCCTTAGTGTTCTATATAAAACCAAATTTTTTTTACTCCATTTCAAACCTGCTTCAAAAAAAAAAAAAAAAAAAACTTCAAAGCTTTAGGGAAAGCTCCAAAGCTCTTCCACCATCTGGCCTCAAGACCGCTGTGCCAGCCATGGCCTGGGTCACTGCCGGCGATTGTTGTCAGTGGTCGTTGGTGGTTGAAAAATGCCAAAACTCTAAAAAAAAAAAATTAATGATAGTATTTTTGTTATTGCAGGTAGCTCAACGCTAGGTTCCTTTATACAGGGATGACTGTGTTTGTCTTTTTTGGGTTTTGTTTGTGTTCTGGGTATGGCTTTAAGATTTTTGGATGCAGGAAATTGGGGCTCTTGGGTGGAGGGGAACTCAGGTTTTTGGGTGTGTGTGCTTGTAGTTTTTTAGTATGGGAAGGACTAGGACTTCAAGGCACGTGAACTTGAGGTTTTTTATGTGTTCGAACTTGGTGTTTTTTGGGGTGTCTCTAGATCTGTTCGAAAGTTTTAAAGGGGAGAAAGTTGGGCATTTTATAAGGTTGGGGTGTTTACAATGTGGTGAGTATGAGGTAGTTGTAGGTTGGCTGGTCAAAAATAGGCTGTAGGTTGGCTAGTCAGGTGGTTGATTAGGGGCAGCAACAGCGTTGTACACCAACCCCCTACTTTCTGTTTTTTTTTTATTATTTTTTTAATTTTAATTTTTAAAAAAAATATATATTTGTTATTTATTATTAAACAACATTATCATTATTATTAATAATATTAATAATATTATTTATTACTATTATTATTTACTATTATAATTAATTAATAATTTTAATATGCAAGACCCAAACAAAATCCGATGTCTACAAACACTTTTTAATATCATTAATTAATAAATATATATTATATTTATAATTAGATGACATTAATAATACTATTATTGATATTTTATTTATTTCTTATTTTTGCATTTTTAGAAAATAATTTTTATTTTCGTTTACCAAATACATATTTTAGAAAACAAAAAAAGAAAATAAAAGCTATTTTCTAAAAAGTAAAAATAAAAATATTTTCTCAAACCAAACAGGGCCTTAGACTTCCAAGTCTCAAAAGCTACTTTTAGTTTCTTTTGATGTTGCTATGAAAAATGTTTTATAGAGTACATAGGTATATCAAAACCCTTCTTATCCTTTTTTCTAATCTTTGATAAAACACCTAAAAATGAAAACTTTATAAAAGAAAGTCGGCAATGATCTATCCCTTCATTATAATAAGATAGTTTAATTGTGAGTAATAGATATTCAATTTAACACCATCACTTGTAAGTCTCACAGTCATTTTGGTTTTCTTGATCACAAATAACTATAAGAACACTAGACTATTTTGTTTAATGACATTTATACTTGAAATAATGAATATTTTGGTAAGGAAATTTATACCTTAACCACCATACGGAAAAACTCTTTATGAGCATTTGCTTGTTGGATCTCCCTTTCCCTATTAACCGTGAACGCCTCACTTCATTTTAACTTTGCCTTGTGATGCTCACTGATTACCTAAATGACATAAATATAAAATAGCAATATCTGAGACCAAATTGGAATTTATAAAAGACAAATAACTATCAAAACCTAATACTAAAATAGAGATAAGGAAGTTAAGTTAGTTGCATTTTAGGGCTTGATGTCCAATAAACAATTGAGCTACAAGACATGCTATAGGTCAGCACCTTAAAACTCATGTTTATTGAAATGTATTCAGTTTCATCTCTACATGGATGGTGATTATAGTCATTACATCACCGTAACATATCCTCTACAATCATTTAATAATAATTGCATAGACTAACATGACTATAGCGTCATAATAATACCTAAACCAAACAATAATAGGATTACGCTACTCAAACTTTTAGTATATATAAATCCAAAAGACAAAAGGGTTAAAGAGAAACCTGGAACTAGTAGTTCGCTGTTCAACAATGACTTTTTTTCAGCTACGACACCAAAAAATATAGTCATGTTAGGTTCACTATGTGAGAGACCAAGAGAGCAAAACAAAGAATAAATAGATCAATAAGTTAGAAATTTATAATATCAAATTATAGTATATATTTTTCCTAGACAATGTTATTGAATCAGCCTTGGCAATGGAAAGCAAAAGGAAATAGATTGAAAATAATTTGACAAAGAAAACACCAAAAGAAGCACTGCCCCATTTTCTTGGTTTCTCATCACTAGTAACAGGTTATCCATATATACCTATAACAAAAATAACAAAAAAATATAGACCATAAACATGATTAGTTTTTAATCTCAGTGGAAAAAACACAGTTCATTAATATGCAATGCATGCATGAAATTTGCTATATATATTAATTGTAAACTAGAAAAGCAATCGATGCCACAAAATACAGAAATATATCAGAGATTTAGTTAGTTTCGTCCTAGAAGTTCAAGGACATATCAAATGTTCTCGGCAAAGTTCAATTGCTACAAATGGCGGGCAATTTAGGCTTGAAATCGCAAGATGGTGTCTTTCCCCTGCATTTTTCATCATTAGTGGAGGTATATCCATCCTATCCTTATACCCTTCACCACCAAAGACTCCCACTGCAGTTTGCATAGTCCTATAATGCCAAAATGTCTAAATCCATTATTTCTAGCTGGAGCATAAGAAATCTCAATAAAAACTAAAAAGAAAAAAAAATAAGTATTCATTATAAAAGTAGCACGAATCTTTCGTTTTTTTTTTAACGCAATGAACATTTAGCACTAGACGATAACTATGGTTCTTACATAGATTTAATTAGATGTTTTCAATCTTTCCCAGGTATTCGTTATTGATTTTGCACTGAACTTGTTCTTTGAAGCATATCTTTGGTTTTATGATATAGACTATAAATGTATACACATAAATGTAGGCAACTTAAGCATAAACATTAAATTCTATTTGCTATCCTAAAATGTTGTTGAATAAAACTTGGCAATGGAAAGCAAAAGGAAATAGATTGAATATAATTTGATAAAGGATACACCAGTAATGGGGTTCACTAATTAAAATAAGGATAAGACGACAAAGACAGGTCAAAACACTATTATATATATTATAAAAGGCCGCATTTCAAAGATAAAGGAAGGGGTTGCAGAAATCTTGAAAGAGAAACAAACTAATTGAAAAGTTATATACCTTAGCAAAGGGGAAACAATGACCAAATCTATTTTCTTAAAAAGTCCCATTTCTTGAACATGCTTATGTAGTTTATCAACCTGTTATAATAATATTGGTACAATTACAATTATGCCAAAGCATTATTCTTCCTACTAGTGCCTAAAAAAGCCTATTTAAAGAATAAAACCAACTTTGATGCACATTCTTTAAAACTCCGAGAAAAAAAAAAAAACTCCAAGTTTAGATTTTTTTTTTTAAGAAATTCCTCATAAACCCAATTGCTGGATATTTCACACCTTTTTGAAAGACCAATAATTTATTTTAACCAATGATTTTCTATGACGATACCTTTTGCTAGCTAAGACGCGTGAGATGAACATCGAAAATGTCTTCAGATAAATAAGTGTTATGATATTTTTCCCTGAGCATGTATCACCTTCATTCCATAACTCCAATATTAAAATCATATTGGCCTATTATTTTTAATTCCAAACCAGTCAAAGAAAAATGATTTTAGAGCAAGATCACAAACCAGATGCAGAGTTTTATGGCATAATCCTGTACTGCTTGTTGCTTCCATATCTGCACTCAATTTGAAAAAAAAAAAAAAAAACCTTTTACAAACAACACCTGCCGCATGAAGTTTTGCCACCCCTTGTGTAATGTCTACTCCATATCTACATTTGAAAGCACTCAATAAGTCATAGCAACCTAAAGACAAGCATAGATTTGGTAAAACAGAAAAAACTCTACGTGATTTTCAATTACACAACCAATAGGATTCAAATGCAAACAACCTTAATCAAAAATAAGAAAATTATATTCATGCATAAATAGAGAAGTGAATGACACTTGATAGTTGTAAAAATTAACTCTAATATCAAATTTTAAGAAATTTTATAGATAAAAACATTAAAAAAGGTTGGGCAGGATGCATAATAAATGTTGCATTAAATTTTCTAAGGTCAGTAAAAATGTATACTTCATTTGTAAAGTCAATCCACAAACTTTAACATATCATATTGATGATACCCAACGGCAGTGAATTAGAAGGCAGAATTGTTTTTACTGAACTTGATTCTCTCCACTTTCTTCTTTTTTACTGCGTTTAAGAACTCATTGTACCTTCATTGATTGGCTTCAAGAAGATTATAGAATTGAGATTGAGGCTTGGTAGTTGTTAAAAGGAGGTTTTGAGACAAGGGTGATAAGTTCAATGGGCTTGGCTTGGTTGGCAAGGCTTTGATTTACGGGTGGGGGTGTGCTTGGGATGTTATCAACGATTAGTGCTTGTGGGGTTATTAAAGAGAAGAGTAAGGCAGCTAAAGTGCCATGAGATTTGAGGGTTTTTAATAGGTTGTTTTGAGTTAGATTTCTTGTCAAAGATAGATTGAGTTACTTAGAACTCTCTTCTTATTTTTGGAGTTGGGGTAGATAATAAGAGTTTTGCACAAGCTTCTTTTTTCAAGCTTTTAGAAAAGCTTTCTTCCTAAAATTTTTTTTACATTCCTTACTTGTCCTTTCAAAGCATGTTAGGGGGTAACTTACATATATGTTATAGATACAGAAGCGCAACAATTTAAATAACTAATTGATAAAAATAGTGTAATACGTAATTAGTAATCTAACCTTAATCAAACTCACAAAAAAAGAAAACCAAATAAACAAAAACATTATAATATCAAAATTATATAACAAAATTATTTTTTTCTAAATTATATAAAAAAATTAAATTCACTAATTAAAAACCAACATCCCTCTTCAATTTTGATTTAAGTCATAAAAAATTCTCATGTACCCATTTTTCTCCAATTATTTATTTTTCCCTCCCAAATTTCAACTAAATAAGAAAAGCAAAAATTAATTTTGAGAGTCCAAATACCCCACCTTGACCACATTCTCTTTGGTAAATTAATTTTGACTCCACGTGATATAAGCCTTCCAAATCCCCCACCTTGACTTCCACCCCACTCCATCTCTATTTCTCCTTTCTTTTTTTCTCCTCTATTTTCACCGTTTTCCCAAACCCACAACAAAGCCATGAGTCACCATGATTCAACATATCCAATCATTATATGCCTTACCCAAACCCTCATGGTCTCTCCTTAAGGGAAACACTCAACATCTATCCATCCCTATCAAGGTAAGAAAATGAAGACAAAACTCACTTGAAGCAGATGGGCATAGAATCTAACTCTCTCTTCACACCATCTACAACTCAAATTTTAAAAAAATGTGAAGAAGAAAAATGAGTAGTTGTTTCTTAACATGAATTAAGTTTGCCTTTTGAGGTTTAAATTTGTTGCATTTTGGTTGAATTGTTTGCAGTTGGGCTGGGTGATACACAAAGATTACAATTTGCTATTGATTACGACATCTTAAGTTTTGGTATGATTCTAAATATATGGTTGCTTTAAAGTTTTGAATTATATGCATAAACACAAGTATAATACTGTGGTTGTCTCGATTTTGTTTATCTATTTATTCTGCCATGGTTTTTCTCTATACATACGATATATGCTTCTCTGATTATAGTCATGCATGATGTTGAGACATACCAACAATCTTTTCTCTTAACGTTAAAGGACAATGAAAACGGAGGTAGAAAGCAAAAAGAAAAATTGTCATGACATGGAAGAGGGGAAAAAATCTTTTGGTATTATTTGCTTTGCCAAAGGGTGAATCTTCTCCGAAATTGGCAGTCGATAGCTGAATTTTTTCCCTAACCAAAAAATGCACCATAAACATACAAAATCTAGAAAACTCTTACATTTTACCTTGCTATATTGGAAGATGATCGTACATGGATGTTTTCTGACTTCTAATCACTTTTAAAATTAGCACTCATTCATTTGCACATGATAATGATCAATTTGCAATTAGTACAATGGTATCCTATCTATCAAAATTATTTTACACGTGGGTGCCTTGATTGGTTAATTCACTACCTACCAAATATTGAAATACATATAGGTGACTAATTGATTAATTCACTATCTACCAAAATAAATTTCATCATCCAACATACATTTGTTTGGTATTTCATACTCATAGTGTTTAAAGATGAAAATTCAAAGGACTCGAAATATATAAAGGCAATCATAGATTGGAGCTGACCTACCAACGTTACAAAAATTTGAAGTTTTTTAAAGTAAGTTTGATACAATAGAAGATTTATGGTGAGATTTTCTAGTATTATAGTCCTCATGATACGATTAGCCTAAAAAAGGAGTAAAATTTCAATGGACTACGGAACGTGAAAAAGGTGTCCAACAGTTAAGGAAATGTTTAGTGACAGCCCCTATTCTAACAATACCAAATGGAAATGGACGATTTGCCATATATAGTGATGCCTTTAGGACAGGTTTGGCTTGTGTTTGAATGCAACAAGGAAAAATGGTAATGTATGCCTCTTGGCAACTAAAACCATATGAGCACAACCATCTTATACAGGACTTGAAGCTTGCAAAGGTTATGTTTATGCTTAAAATTTAGAGCCATTAATTATATAGTGAGAAGTGTGATATATAGTTAAAAGTGTGATATCTTCATTGATCATTGTCATAACATTTAGATTTAGAGATCTATCGCTAGATTTAACAAATGAATGGAGTCACCACCAATCTTTTTTATCTAAGTGTGATTAGTCACCTAAGAAATCTATCCTCTTAAGGATCTCCTAAGATTGACTAAGGGTCCCTAAAAGAATAGGTTCATTTCTACTAACTAGAACAGGGTTCGGGAGTTCGGTTACATGTGGGAAAGGTTATAGCACCTTCACATGCCCATCCAAAGGATGGTATCGTATTATTTTGAATTTATCCTATGGTCTTGAGTCTAATGGTTTTAATATTTAATATTAAATATTGAAAATAATTTATAATATTCTCCATCAATCTGGTAAAACTCTTAAAAAATATTTTCTCATCTCAAGAGTATTCAAGCATCCCATTTAATATCTTGAAGAGGCTCCGTTGTCGGAAAAAAAGTTTATTTATATTATTGCCATTTTTTTGTTGAAAATAAATCTAATTATTTCACCATTTGGGCCTATTTAGAAATTTCCTTTTTTTTTCTTGGAAAGAAAATAATATGACAATTATTTCTATTGAAATTTCACATAAATTATTCTACCATTAGGGTCAAATTTAGAGAAAATTTTTTACCTAGAGATTTATTAAAAATTTACCATTTACAATTTCTAAGAATCTCATATTGGATAATTATCAAATATTTTCAAGCCAAATTTTTATGTGGAAAAAAGAACACAATTATTTTTATTGAAATTTTCATCTAAATTATTCCACAATTTGGAACAAATTAGAAGAAATTTCTCACCTAGAGAATTCTTAAAAAATTTACCATTTGAAATTTCTAAAAATCTCATCATTGGATAATTTGTATTTAATTCCAAAATTTTTATATTTTTTTCATTTTTTATTTTTTAAAAAATAAATATTAATTATTGGTATTGAAACTTTATCTAAATTATTCCACAATTTAGGACAAATTTAGACAAAATTTCTCACCTAAGAATTTTATAGAAATTTACTATTTGAAATTTCTATAAATTCCATCATTGGATAATTAATATTTATTCCCAAAATTTTATTTTTATTATTTTATTTCTTATTAAATTAAATCATGCAAAAATACTCCTAAAATAACTAAACACATAAATTAAAAAATAATTAAAAAAATTAAAAATTAAAAATACAAAAGGAAATGGAAATGGCTCGGCTTGCAGCTATGAACAGCTCGGCTTAAGACAGAAACCACGGCTCAAAAAACGCCTCGAGGGCAATCGGCTCGGCTCAGTAGCAGGGTTTGCGAAGCAGGTCAACGCGACAGGTCGGGTCGCCCGAATGGAAACGGGCGGATCCTGGGGTCTTATTAACGCTGAAGCGACGTCAATTTGTAGAGATATAAAAGGCTAAAACCCGGTCTCCCTTCAGATTTTTCTTCTTTTCTCTCTCTCTTCTCCATTTTTTTCTCTCTTCTTCTCCCTTTTTTTCTCCCCTCTCTCTAGAACAGAAACTTAGAATTCAATTGAATTTTCACCGAATTTTGGAAAATCATGCCAGAATATGGAAAAACACGCTAGAAATTTTAAGTTTCACCAAAAAAATCACCAAAAAATTGATCGCATTCTAGAAAATTTTTAGAAATTTTCTAGAAAAAAAAAACCAAAAAATTCAAAAAAATTCCTAAACTGCTTCTACAATTACTACTAACACCTTTGAGTTTTTTGCTTCAGTTTTCTTCTTTCCGTGTCTTCCTTGTGTACTCCAGCATCTATTTATAGGGATTGATCAGAAGAGTTTATGATCAATCCTAATTCCATCTGGGATTGGGATTCAATCTTTGAATCCAATCCCAACTCTGCCAACCCCTAACTCTACGACCAAATCCACTCCATCATTTTTTTACTATTTTTAATTAATCTAATCATTATCTCCTAATTAATCAAGAAAAGAAAATATAACAAAAACTAATAATAAAGATAATAATAATAATAATAATAAAAATAAATAATAAATGGAAAAAAAATAAAAACGTGATAATAACACTAATAATAACAATAAATAAAATAAAACAAAATAAAAATATGGGCTCATTTAGGCTAGGCCAAATTGATCCGAGTCTAGACGAAATTGGTTATTTACAGCAGCCCCTC